GGGGGGGGGGGGGGGGGGGCCCCTGCAATGAACCAGCCTCTGTCCGCAGTGAGCCTCTGTCTGCAGTGAGCTGCTGTTCACAACTACTCAATTACCCAACATCTAACATCCCTAGAGCCCCACCCCGGGGATTATAGAATGGTCAAGTAACCAATATTAAAAATCCCTAGCACAGCCGTGGCCAGGGCTGACAGCAAGGAGCGCAGCCCCAGCCGGGGTTGGAGGCGCAGCGTAGGTGGAAAGGGGAGGGACAGCCCCGTCAGGGCTCGTGGTGGGGTGCATAGTCCCAGCTGGGGTTGGAGGCAGCAGGGCTGGCAGCCAGGAATGTAACCCTGGCCAGAGCTCGCTGCAGAGTGTGCAGCCCTGGCCAGGGCTGGAGTCAGCAGGGCCAGTCCCTGTTCAGGGCTGGCACCATGGGGGCTGCAATCCTGGTCAGGGATGTCACTGTGGGGGGGCTGAAGGCAGCAGCAGGCAGCACAGAGTGCAGCCCCACCAGGAAGCAGAGCCTACAGCTGGATAGGGAGCCTTGACCTCCCCTTGTCTGGCAAACTCTGTGGTTTGGGACCACTCAGGTCCTGAAGGTGATGGACAAGAGAGGTTTGACCTATATCTCTTTCTACATATATCTTTGAGTGTATCTGTCTGTCTGCAAGTCCATTTGTTCAAGATCTCCTCCTAAATATTGAGAGCTAGGGCCTCCAAATATGGTCTGCAGCTTCTCCTCCTCCTAACTTAAAGCAGGGCTCAGTTGTTCCAGAACAACCTGAAGCCCCAGGAAGTACTGTTTTCCACAAGATATAAAGGGTGGGCCTGTTGTTCAGATGGATGCGCTACTCAGATCAGCAACTGGGGGCAGATGCAGGCAGGGGAGACTTAGCTTCATGTTTAAGTTGCCTACATATGCCAGAAAGTTTCATCGTAACTCTGTCTAAATACCATTAATTAATAATTCTCACAGATGCAGGAGCGGCCCCAGACTAGCTACCAGCAACTGACGCCCTAGGCGAACCATGCAGTTGGCTCCCCTACCTCCAAACTCCTCAACAATATTGCACCACCATTTGGCGCCCCATTGTGTCCCATTTAACTTGGTGCCTAGTTCGCCTATAAGGACGGGCCGCCCCTGCATAGCTGACTTGTATGGATTGTGGGACATACATCCACTCAGGGTGTTGCAGCCAGGCATATGGGACTGCAGCAACACTCAGATTTGGCCTGTCCATGATGAAGAGGTGGCTGGACCAAACCTGAGCAGTGCTGCAATCCCGAATGCCTCCTTGCAATGCCCCAAGTGCAGGACTGCAACATTCAAGGGAGCACTGGTTAGGCTTGCTCTGAAGCCTCATCCTTTTCCATGATAGGATTGGGATTGTGGTGTCAGAGCAGAAGGCGTTTCCCTGCTGCCAGAACCTCTTTCTGCGGCAGGAAAAGGACTCTGGCAGTAGGACACGCCACTGTTAATTACAGCAGTGTAGACTAGGGATGTGTACGTGCATTCGACTATACAATTAACAGATAAGCCTTGACATCCCCCACATGGAGGAAAACAGGAGCCAGTGCTGGGGGAGCGTCATCTGTGATACTGCCGGAGGGAGCACATCCCCAGTGGGGCTGGAGCAGTGGGGAGCACAGCCTAGGGCTGTAACAGTATAGTTGATAACTGATTACCAAAAGCTTATAGGTTAAAAGGTAAAGCTATAATTCATTTTAAAACCATGAAACCCAAATTCTAAGATCAGACACAAAACAAAGAATTAAGTTAATACTGCAAGCAGGTGACATCTAGTCTACAATATGCCAATAAGTCTCTTTGATGATGACTATGTACGACCAGCTAAATGGTAATAATTTCAAGTGATCCATTTGAATCAGTTTCCAGATACAAGATATGTCTTGGTACTTTTTCAGTTAGCATAGAACTTACCTCTCAGTATCGCACAAGTAAGAGCGAGTAAGTGAAGAAATAAGCAATCTTCCGTCCAAATAATCAAGCTGAACTACACGTGAGTCAACAGTGGTTATAACTTGAACTGGAAACATTACAAAAGCAGCTGCTGCCTAATGGAACAACACATACTGGACTTAGGTTGATGTTGATAATATTCCACAGAAACTATAGGAAAAAAGTTAGTAGCGAAGCGCTATACTCAAAGGTCAGAAAATAGCAAACTTCAAGCTGTTTGTGACTGTTCATGTTAACTAAACTTTGCCCAATATCCAATAACATACACCATTGTTTCTTCCCCTACAAAATAAGACCCTGGATTTGAGAATATTTATGTGCATGAATAGCCCTACAAACTTCAGTGAACTATCCACATACACAGTTATTCACATACGTGCTTGCAAGAAGGGGGCCTGGTCTACAGCGTCTTGTAATTTTTTTCCCCATCAATATACACTTAAGGCTATGTCTTCACTGGCAGCTTCTTGCGCAAGAACTCTTTTGAGGAAGAGTTCTTGTGCAAAAACTCTTCCAGAAGAGAGCATCTACACTGGCATGTGCTTTTGCACAAGAGATGTGCTTTTGCGCAAGAGCATCCATGTCAGTGTAGATGCTCTCTTGCACAAGAAAGCTCTGATGGCCATTTTAACCATAGGGCTTTCTTGCGCAAGAAGTTCATGTTGCCTGTCTACACTGGCCTCTTGCGCAAGAATAGTTGCGTAAGAGAGCTTATTCCTGAGCGGGAGCATCATAGTTCTTGCGCAAGAAGCACTGATTTCATACATTAGAACGTCAGTATACTTGCACAAGAACACACGGCCAGTGTAGACAGGCAGCTAGTTTTTGCACAAGAGCGGCTGCTTTGGCACAAGATCGCGCCAGTGTAGACACAGCCCTATATTATATCCATTGTTGCATATCATAGTCCTCTTTTTTTTGTTAGTTCTCTTTCTATGTAAGTGTCTCATTTATTTAAGACAGCAATAGTTTCCCTTAGGTATATTCCCATAGGGATCTGCTAAATTAACTTAGCTACATGTTTAAGTTGCCTACATATGCCAGAAAGTTTCATCGTAACTCTGTCTAAATACCATTAATTAATAATTCTCTCAGATGCAGGAGCGGCCTCAGACTAGCTACCAGCAACTGACGCCCTAGGCGAACCATGCAATTGGCTCCCCTACCTCCAAACTCCTCAACGATATTGCACCACCATTTGGCGCCCCATTGTGTCCCATTTAACTTGGTGCTTAGTTCGCCTATAAGGACGGGCCACCCCTGCATAGCTGACTTGTATGGATTGTGGGACATACATCAAGTAGCACACACAGATAACACTGATGCACTGAACCAGTTGTAGCACAAGTGCAAAGCTTGTTAAAATTCTCTAATGTAAACAGGTCACAGCATGACTATTAAAGCTTTGGGTATTATTTAGCTTTAATGGACAGTTAACATTTTGGAAAAACTGTCAGTTTCAACTGTCCAACTCCTTCAATTCAGGATCCAGTGCACATATTATATAGTCTAGAGACACTTTCTCCCCCTGTCCTTCAACTAACCCCAGTAAAACCAGGGAAGGACAGAGCTGATGTATTTGATTTCTAAAATAAAACAAGATTTTTGTCTTAGATAAAGAAGGCCTGAAAACCTTTTTATTAATGTATCTATACAGGTTGAACCTCTAAAATCTGGGACTCTCTGATCCAGCGTCATCTGTGATACTGCCGGAGGGAGCACATCCCCAGTGGGGCTGGAGCAGTGGGGAGCACAGCCTAGGGCTGTAACAGTATAGTTGATAACTGATTACCAAAAGCTTATAGGTTAATGCTGTAGACTGCTCACATCCCGCCCCCAAGTACATTTTTTAGCAGGCTGGCCAGCAACCCAACTGAGTCTCAGCTTGCGCCAGGTCTGGAACCTACCCTCACTGCAGCTGGGGAGGAGGGCAAGGGAGGTTGCCACAAAGCAGCCTCCATCCACAGGGGGCCTGAACTCCCCGCAGACAGAGGCAGGGCTCTCCGTGGACAGAGGCTCGTCCTTAGCAGCAATCCCATGGATAGGGTAGGCAGAGCAGCCTCTGTCCATGGGGAGCTCGGACCCCACTGAACAGGAGCTGCTGCCACTCCGTGCTTCTGCCTCTGTATGAGAGGCAGCAGTGTGACAGACAGCTGGTCCACAAGGGGAACTGGTTTTTAAACTAGTTAGGCAAGCAGCTGGGCTGCATGTGGAGCTGGTTTTTAAACTGGCTCCCCTCATTGACTGACTCTTTGCCCTAATTCAGAGGCAACAGCATGGGAGTGGCCAAGGCTCCTCAGGAGTGGGGCCATAGTGCACTGGCTGCTAGCCCCACCCCGGGGATTATAGAATGGTCAAGTAACCAATATTAAAAATCCCTAGCACAGCCGTGGCCAGGGCTGACAGCAAGGAGCGCAGCCCCAGCCGGGGTTGGAGGCGCAGCGTAGGTGGAAAGGGGAGGGACAGCCCCGTCAGGGCTCGTGGTGGGGTGCATAGTCCCAGCTGGGGTTGGAGGCAGCAGGGCTGGCAGCCAGGAATGTAACCCTGGCCAGAGCTCGCTGCAGAGTGTGCAGCCCTGGCCAGGGCTGGAGTCAGCAGGGCCAGTCCCTGTTCAGGGCTGGCACCATGGGGGCTGCAATCCTGGTCAGGGATGTCACTGTGGGGGGGCTGAAGGCAGCAGCAGGCAGCACAGAGTGCAGCCCCACCAGGAAGCAGAGCCTACAGCTGGATAGGGAGCCTTGACCTCCCCTTGTCTGGCAAACTCTGTGGTTTGGGACCACTCAGGTCCTGAAGGTGATGGACAAGAGAGGTTTGACCTATATCTCTTTCTACATATATCTTTGAGTGTATCTGTCTGTCTGCAAGTCCATTTGTTCAAGATCTCCTCCTAAATATTGAGAGCTAGGGCCTCCAAATATGGTCTGCAGCTTCTCCTCCTCCTAACTTAAAGCAGGGCTCAGTTGTTCCAGAACAACCTGAAGCCCCAGGAAGTACTGTTTTCCACAAGATATAAAGGGTGGGCCTGTTGTTCAGATGGATGCGCTACTCAGATCAGCAACTGGGGGCAGATGCAGGCAGGGGAGAGGTACC